AAATATGTCTAGAATTTTCCGCAGAATCCAGAAGTGTCATAATATACAGGGGGTACCATTAAAAAAACTAAAAATGATAACGGTACAGCTGTTTTCGGAACACCCTGTATAAAAAAATTGGTGTGAAAAAATCTCAAGCAAAAAAACAAAATTGACGTGTTCGAGCGTTTTTTAGAAAAGTGCCCCATTTATTTATTATCGGGGATAATACCACGAGAGCTTCAAAATTATCTGGTTCATTTTAAAGCTCAAGTGGTATTTAGAGGATTATTCCACTCATGTGTTAGAAATCCCATGAGACAAGTGACGATTTTCAGAATTACAGCGAAAATTCTCTTTTCCATTTGTTTAACTAGAGAGAATTACAGAGATAATTCTCCCATGTTATTGTATACATCGTTGTCATGCTAATTTTTGATACAAACAAACGGTTCCTGATAGCAACCATTTATTTGTATTGATTGTTAAGATATTTAAATCGTTTAATACATATTTATTTCCATATTTTTTGCATTCTCATACGTGAAATAATCCTCTAAATACCACTTGAGCTTTAAAATAAACCAGATAATTTTTCACTCATGCGTGTTTTCTCTGCAAATTTCACTCGTCCTACGGACTCGTGAAATTATAGAAAACACGCAATCGTGAAAAATTATCGGTAATTTTGAAGCTCTCGTGGTATTATCCCCGATTATTTCACGTATAAGAACGCAAAAAATATGGAAATAAATATGTATTAAACGATTTGAACATCTTAACAATCAATACAGATAAATGGTTGCTATCAGGAACCGTTTGTTTGTATCAAAAATTAGCATGACAACCATGTATACAATAACATGGGAGAATTATCGCTGTAATTCTCTCTAGTTAAACAAATGGAAAAGAGAATTTTCGCTGTAATTCTGAAAATCGTCACTTGTCTTATGGGATTTCTAACACATGAGTGGAATAATCGAATTTATTCCATTTGGCTGATACACACTGTATATATATTCTTATTTATAACTAACTGTTTAAACTATTATTCATAACTATATAATTTCACATTGTTTAAACTTATAATATTGAAAGTTGAATTTTCGCGCTTTTGGTGGAAAAGAATAGCAAAAGGCACATTCCCACAAATCGGAAAGAATATTTAAACTACAGAATTATCATGCGATATACGGTGGGGATGAATATTAATCAGAGTCCATATCAAGGATTTCCAAAAAAGTTGAAATGATGTTAGAAAGATTGGAGTAAAGTTCAGTGAATCAAATTCTACACAGAAGATGATTGATGAACATTCTAAAAGAAATTACATATTGAACACCATTAATTTGTGTTTTTTGGCTCACCTGGATGGCTGGTTCTCTGCACCAAAATCTCAAGATAATAATTAGGTAGGTATATGGAAAATGTTTCCTTTCTCTTAACTGGGCTCTTGGCTTTTGCTCTTTAATAGAGCAATTTAGTCAGTGAATTCTATTCAACAGAAAACCATCTAAGCCATGTTTCCAGACACTTATTTTTACAACTTCTCTTTCATTTTAATTTTCCAATGCATAAATGATGATGTTTTGTTTTGGGACAAGACAAAAACTATAACTTTGAGGTTGTTGTCAGCCCTAAATCCAGGCTCCACAAGATTGGATTAACCCTGATCCACCACGTATAGATTCACAGGATAGGTTGAGAATCGAAGAAATGCCTACTTAGTCTTCTACAAAATCAGCAAAAAAAATAAAACTTGTTTTGTTAGGAATCAAGAACACAAAAAAAACTTAGCAGCTTTTCTTTGGCATTCTAGAAATTTCCACTTATGGATTCTACGAAATTTCCACTTTGGACTCAAATAATAGTCTTGAGAAATCCACGTTCAGAAATTAAGTTCATTTCTTCAACAGTGAACTTCTATACGTGAAAAAGGTGGGTATTTTGAAACTCTGGTTCCAACTTTCAATTTCGGCCCAAAATGGAGTTGCCTTTGAATTTCTGCTTTAGTAGAGCCAATATAATAATGAAACCGTGATGATTAAATGGGTTTTGAAGTTGAAGTGATCGAACAGAAGCAAATTTTTTTATTATTTTTTCCGAAATTTCAATCTTTCTTCCATCCATTTGGAAAATGTCAATTTAACAAAGATTTTTCTCAAAAAAACATCCCTCAATGTTGTTTTGTGGAAGTTTGATTTTTTTAACACACAATTTCCTTGTAACTTTCTTAATTTCAATCCGATCTCAACGTAATTATAGGCCCAAATTAGAGCCAATTGAATTCTCTATAAATCTTTCATTAACATTTGAATGGCAGCTTCAAGAGTTTCACCATAATGATTTTGTAATTTTTCTTGTTTTTATTCTAATTTGTTTGGTCTATTATAATTATTCTAGGTTCGTAAATCTTCTTTATGAGTTTCTTCTCTATAGTCGTGCGTTTAGAATGGACAGTTGCTACTATTTGACAAGTTAGTCAAGGCAATTCTAAACGTTCAAAGCTAACAAGGCTTCTTTGGCGTCTATAAATTCGGCCCTAAATAAATAAATTCCAAAGCCTGAAAAATTAGGAATTGAAAAATTTGGAATTTTAAAAAAATAAAGAAAATTCGAGAGCCTGGAATAGACAAAAACAGAAACAATAATTAGAAATTGAGGAAGAAATTTATTGTACTTTGACCTATAAGTCATGAATAAAATGTTGTGCATGATACGTGTGCTAGGGACTAGGAAGTAAGTAAGTAAGTAAGTAAGTAAGTAAGTAAGTAAGTAGTAAGACATAATACATATGTAGTAAAAGCATAATATTGTGTAATGTACAAAGTGAACCATTTATTTTGTCCTATCTTGGTACATATATGGAAATTTAGATATTTTCTAACAAAAAGTTTCACATAAAAGTTGTACGGCTAGAATTATTAATTTGTTTTTTTGTATTTGCGCATATACAGGGTATGATGTCACTTTCATTTTTTTCAAAAATTGCTCGTACACGTAATTTGATTGTGTGAGTGTTTGAACCATTTTCAGCAGTTACTTATCCCTTTGGGGGTGGGACCAACCCTTACCATTCCAAATGGAACAAGGGGTCGAGTGATACCTGGTTTTAAAAGAGCGTTCAATTTTCATTCGTTCAATTCACTCGACCCCTTGTCCCCTTTGAAATAGTCAGGGTTGGGTCCAACCGATTTGTAACTCAAATTACGTGTACCAGAGATTCTTTTGAATGGCCAGTTTTTAGAATATTGTAGAAACGTTAAAAATAAATATCGGACTTTGATTAAAGGGAAACATATCGTCTTTGTCAACTTATTGACAAAAATAAGTTCATTCAGTTTGTGTGAAAATTGTCGTTTTCTTCATTTTTTTTTTGATGGCACACCCTGTATATTTTTTGTGGAATGGAAAGTACTTTAAAGACATTACACAGGGTGTTAGAAATTAGGTCGGCACTATTATTGCTAACGCGTTTATTATAAGAGTTAGAAAATCGGTTAATTTGAAAAACAATTGAGCATCGCCTTTCCGAATTATTTTCAACTTTTTTCGATGGAGCACCCTGTATATTTTTTGATAGATTGATTGCAAATGTTTTTCTCACTAAAAAGGTTCTTTGCACTATTGCCTTCAAATCAAAAATACCTGAGTTATTCCAAATTTTACATTTTTTCAAGTTGGCCATGTATTGTTATCTTAAAGAGTATTTTTCGTCCCACATCTAATATACAGGGTGTGCCATTTAAAAAATTGAAGAACAACGACAATTTTCAGTTTTTTCAGGTAAGTTCAGCAACACCGCAACACATACTGAATGAACTTATTATAATATAATTTGACAATTAATTGACACATTCCGACTTTGAAATACATATTTATTTTTAACGTTTGTACAATAATCTTAATATTGGCCGTGCCTCGAAGATAAATATAAATTGATCCGAAACCATGCATAACAACCCTATATACAGGATGTCCCATGACCTTTTTCCGAGGTAATAACTTCGGAACGCGTCTTCCAATATAATCGAAATTTTGAGGATTTGGGTAACTTTTTGTACTGTTTCTACCATTGTCATCCAATTTCACCACTTTCGCTTCAATTTCGGTCGAGTGACGTCAACTTTCGAATCTTAAATGTAACTCATGGTAAATTATTCATGATAAAAAATTATACAGTGGAACATACGATGATGCGTTTCGGAGTTATCATTTGGGAAAAACTTCGTGGGACACCCTGTATATTTATATTTATCTTTGGAAGAGCTATCAAAAAATTTAAAAATATACAGGGTGTTTTTAGTATTAATTTTTAGAAAATTAAATCTGATGTGTCACACTTTTATGACACACTCTGTATATGCGCAAATACAAAAAAACAAATTAATGATTTAAGCCCTACAACTTTTGTGTAAAACTTTTTGTCAGAAAATATCTATAGTTGAAACAAATCCAATAGCAGTATGTAAACAAACATCAGTTGGTAATCCAGCCTTCCTATTGGTTGAAACGCCCTACCAGGACCAGTGCGCATGCACGGAGGACATTTTATAGGTTGTAATGAAAATGACCAGTTAATGCCATCACTGTCGCTTGGATTTGATTCAACTATAGATTTCCATATACTGAGTACTGAAATAGGACAAAATAAACGGGTCACCCTATACAAAAATAATATCGACAGCCATTTTGAATACAAAAATTCAATCATGATATTATTGTAGTAAACTTCTATTTGATATTATAGATAACAAACTAGTTCAGATTTTGTAAAGACTTGGTTGTAGATACAATTTTGTATTTTAGACGAGTGATAGATATCTTACAATTGTCAAGAGTTTTATAGGCGTTGGGGCGCATGTATCGCGTATAATATTTTATCTACGCTCGCAAGTCCTCTGTTGCTGAGAGTCTTTTTTATCTTTGATTTTTATTCATTTTGACGTCAGTATAACTTTAAGTACTTAAATCACCATTAAGGGTATCTCTATTCTGTACCTGAATAATCATCAAACAATGAAATAATGCTATACAGAAAGAAGAAGTCGCATTTTTCTTGGTATAATACCTTATATTTGTAGATTTGCCTTTTTGTTCCAATCATTTTTAAACTTATAATATGGGAATTTGTTAAAAGTAGATAAGTTAACTGCTTCCAGATAAGAAGAACCAATATTAAGTATTGTTGAAACTTGTATAATGTTTTATCAATCAGTAGGTAGTTTAATGACTTTTCCAGGAAAATTATGAAAATCGTCCAAATAAAATAATTCCAAAAACTTCCAGGATATCACAAGAGTGTCATCTTCAAAAATTGAGAATTTACAAATTTGGTTCTTGGATTAATCTTTCCAAGAATTAATCTGATTAAGTATCGCGTTTGTGTCCAAGAGATGTCCAAATAATCTCCAAACTGTTCCATGAATTTTCAGGATGGCAATTTGATAATCCAGCAATTTTTGATTAAAGTTTTCAAGTGAAATCTTATAACTGAACACCTAAGCTCATGTAAATTTCAATAACAATGACTTCCTAGTTCAAGGGAATTTGGTATTTAGATTAGGTAATCCATCCTTGAATTATTAATTAAGCATCCCGTTCGTGTCCAGAAAGCACTAGAATAGTAATTTGATAATTTAACAATTTTTGGCATCAGGTATTGCTAAAGTTTCCAAAAGTGATCTCCAGAAACTGCGCACTTAAGTACGCCAATGCAAAATTTCAATGACATGGTTTAAGGAAAATGGGTACTTAGATTACTTCTTCCAGGAATTAATGTAATTAAGCATCCAAGATGTCCAAATAATCTCTAAACTTTTCAAAAATATCTAGGATAGCAATTTGATTAACGAGCAATTGCTAAAGTTTTCAAGTGTGATCTTCAGAAACTGAGCATCTATTCCCATGTAAATTTCAATAATAATGACTTTCTGGTTCATAGAACTTTGGTACTTTGATTAAGCAATTCTTCCAGGAATTATTATACTTAATTAAGAATCGCGTTTGTGTCCAAAATGTCTTAAAACTTCCAAGACTCTAATTTGATAAATCAGCAATTTTTGGCATAATTTTTTATTATAACTTAGTAGAGCTTTTAGGTGCCATCTTCAAAACCTGAGCATCTACCTACACATATGTACGAATCATTGCAAATAGAAATTAGTTCCTAGTTCATAAAAATTTGGTACTTTGATTAATCCTTCCAGGAATTAATGTAATTAATTAAGCATCCAAGACATCCAAAGAATCTCTAAAGACCTCCAGGAAAGCAATTTGATAAACTAGCAATTTTTGGAATAAATTGTTATTATAACCTAGGTCGGTTGTACCATACCAAATAGTATAGTGGTTCAGTTGAACTTTACTGCTACTTGAATTTTTCCAATCCATATAATTAAGTGTCCAAGACACCCAAATAATCTCTAAACTGTTTCAAAAACCTCCAGGATAGCTCTTTAATAAACCAGCAATTTTTGGCATTATTACTTATTTTTCCAAGTGCGATCTTCAAAAACTGAGCACCCGAGCTCATGTAAATCTTAATAACAATCACTTCTTGGTTCATAAAAATTTAGTAGGTACTTAGATTCAGGCAATCCTTCCAGAATGTCCAAAAAACTTTCAGGAAAGCAATTTAATAAATCACCAATTTTTGTCAAAACCTGAGCACCTACGCCCATGTACGTAAGTATCATTGCAAATAACATTGTGGTTCATAGAAATTTGGTACTACAATTAATCCTTCCAGGAATTAATGTAATTAAGCATCGCGTTGATGTCCAAGACATCCAAATAATCACTAAAATCGTTCGAATAATTCATCCAGCCCCAGGACGGGCAGAACAAAACGAAACGGGCGATAATAAACTGGGCCGCCATGATGTCGGAACGGACCCCGACCCAAAAGAGAATCAAGTACATTTCAGGTGCTTATCAAAAAGGTCACCCGTCGATCCTCCTCACTTCAGTCAGATCGATAGCAGAGCTCAGTGAGCCTCACACACAGGCCAAGCCGAACAACCATCGAGTTTCGGTGTTCAGTTGGCATGGCTGGCTGTAGCTGCTCGGCTAGGCTTCCCCTCTCCTCCTAAACAGCTCAGACCGACCTCCTATTCCTCGAAAGGGAATTCAATCCAACGAATCATGCGCATGGAACACCGTATTGATCCTTCCAATTCTCAACTTCCAGTTTAGCTGATGGTACCACTCGGTGAACCCACAGTTGCTACAAAGCTTTCAAAGCGATTATTTTATAGAGCTTCAGAGGCGTAGTATAATTATTTTAAAAACTTACCTATGATTATTTTAAAAACGGTGTTGATTTTTCGGGTTTGTGATTTGTTCGGGTGCCAGTAGCAGCGCTTGCTTACCCCCCAAAGAGGTGGTAAGTAGAAAAAGGACTTTCCGGCGCAGTGTGACGTCAAATAACTGATCCCCACTCGGTTGTAAATTAAAACATGGCCGACTGGATTGGACAGTAAAGCGAAGTTGGTTGTCGGCGGTGCGTTGCGCGCTAAATTTCTTAATTGTTTTGAATTTTTAATTAGTAATTAACCTCGAAAAGTGTTTTAAAAATGGAAGAACCGGTGCCGGAAAACGGCGACAGCAATCAAAATGGACAAGAATCGATGGACAATAGTGAAGTGGAACAAAATGATGAATCGCAATCGGCGACACCCTCGGAATCCAATAACGAAGAAATGGACATGGAAATGGAAATGGAAATTGCGCCAGAAGAAATTATCGCTCCCGAAATCGAAACTTGTCGGCTTTGCGACGACGTTTGCGAGAAAATGTTTAACATTTTCGAAGACAATCCCGAAGGCTATCAACTGATTGGATTGATTAAAGAAAATTTGCCGATCGTTTTGTACAAGACCGATCCGCTTTCGAAGCAGGTGTGCGAAAAATGCGTGCTGAATCTGCAAGTGATTAGCGGTTTGAAAAAACGCAGCCGGAAAACTCAAGAAAAGTACGTGGAGAAATTAAAAGTCGAAGCGGACATTACCGACAAAAATGTTTTACTGTTTTTGGGATGTACCGGAAGTAAGGTCAGTAATTTGTTTTTGTTTTGTTCATTGGTCAGCAATTTTTGACAGTTGATGGGTTATTTATATGATTAATTTTTACTTTTCTTTATTGGTAATAATCAGTTTTATTTGACAGTTGTTGATAGGTCATGACTCAACGGTCATGATTAATTCATGGATTTATGTGACGGCATGTACATTTCTTTCATATTAAATGCATTTTTGAAGAAAATTACTTAAATGATTTTCCAAAGTCCAATTTTTTAGTAAAATAGATACATTGGGAGTTGAAATTTTGATCTATAAATTGCTGAACATTTTTATTTTGATTTTATTGATCCTACAACTCAAGCTATAACTATTTTTGTTTATAATTGTAATTGTATTATTACTGATTATCTTGGAGGTGCTGTATTAGGCAGCCAAAGTGTTTTATAAAATTTATGTATGTAGTTTTTTATGTTAAAATAATTTGGTTCAGCTTTGTCAATGAATGGTACCTAGATATTTTGGACAATACATTTAACATGTTTTGGTTTGACTTGATTTGATTATAATCACTGTTTATGTGTAGGAGTTTTCAATTCCCTAAATATGTACTCATATACCTATATATACCTACATACAGGGTGTCCTTAGATAAACTGACACATATTGCAAGTAAAATATCTCCAAAACCAGAAGAGATAACAAGATGCACAGATTATTTTGAGACTTCTTATTCTCCCTTAAGGTTTTTTTTTTCACAATATTGCCAAATCCTAAAATTTAATGAAATTTGGTTATACAATAATAAGACATGCGATTTTTTGAAATAAAATTACTGTTTTATTCGAGGCTTTATTTTCAATGAAACACACCCTGTATATCAATTTTGCCATCGCCAGAAAGCCTGATTTTTCTTAATTATTTTGAAATCACAAAATGGCACTTGTTAAAAAGAGGGTCATCAACTGACCAAAAAAAAAATAAATACTTACTTCAAGCAATCAGAGGGACTTCAAACTTTCAGGATTTATTGAGTAGGGTATTTTTATTATACAAAACAAACCGCGAATGGATCTCAGGCTCAGAAATGGAATTATGAATTTTTTCTTCCTTAGATGCAAAAAAAATCATACAAAATTTCTCTTAAATCACCTTTGGACGCTTCTGAAAAATACTTCAAGTTGTCAGAAGGACTTCAAACTTTCAGGATCTATTGAGTAGGGTATTTTTATTATACAAAACAAATCTCGAACGGATTTCAGGCTCAGAAATGAAATTATCAATTTTTTCTCCCTTAGATACAAGAAAGTCATACAAAATTTCTCTTAAATCACCTTTGGACGCTTCTGAAAAGTACTTCAAGTTATCAGAGGGACTTTAAACTTCCAGAATTAATTGAGTAGAGTATTTTTATCATACAAAACAAACCACGAATGAATCTCAGGCTCAGAAATGAAATTATGAATTTTTTCTCCCTTAAATGCAAGAAAATCATACAAAATTTCTCTTAAATCACCTTTGGCAGCTTCTGAAAAATACTTCAAGTTGTCGGAGGGACTTCAAACTTTCAGGATTTATTGAGTAGGGTATTTTTATCACACAAAACAAACCGCGAATGGATGTCAGGCTCAGAAATGAAATTATGAATTTTTTCTCCCTTAGATGCAAGAAAATCATACAAAATTTCTCTTAAATCACCTTTGGAAGCTTCTGAAAAATACTTCAAGTTATTAGAGGGACTTCAAACTATCAGGATTTATTGAGTAGGGTATTTTTATTATACAAAACAAACCGCGAATGGATCTCAGGCTCAGAAATGGAATTATGAATTTTTTCTTCCTTAGATGCAAAAAAATCATACAAATTTTCTCTTAAATCACCTTTGGACGCTTCTGAAAAATACTTCAAGTTGTCAGAAGGACTTCAAACTTTCAGGATTTATTGAGTAGGGTATTTTTATTATACAAAACAAATCTCGAACGGATTTCAGGCTCAGAAATGAAATTATCAATTTTTTCTCCCTTAGATACAAGAAAGTCATACAAAATTTCTCTTAAATCACCTTTGGACGCTTCTGATAAGTACTTCAAGTTATCAGAGGGACTTTAAACTTCCAGAATTAATTGAGTAGAGTATTTTTATCATACAAAACAAACCACGAATGGATCTCAGGCTCAGAAATGAAATTATGAATTTTTTCTCCCTTAAATGCAAGAAAATCATACAAAATTTCTCTTAAATCACCTTTGGAAGCTTCTGAAAAATACTTCAAGTTGTCGGAGGGACTTCAAACTTTCAGGATTTATTGAGTAGGGTATTTTTATCACACAAAACAAACCGCGAATGGATGTCAGGCTCAGAAATGAAATTATGAATTTTTTCTCCCTTAAATGCAAGAAAATCATACAAAATTTCTCTTAAATCACCTTTGGCAGCTTCTGAAAAATACTTCAAGTTGTCGGAGGGACTTCAAACTTTCAGGATTTATTGAGTAGGGTATTTTTATCACACAAAACAAACCGCGAATGGATGTCAGGCTCAGAAATGAAATTATGAATTTTTTCTCCCTTAGATGCAAGAAAATCATACAAAATTTCTCTTAAATCACCTTTGGAAGCTTCTGAAAAATACTTCAAGTTATTAGAGGGACTTCAAACTTTCAGGATTTATTGAGTAGGGTATTTTTATTATACAAAACAAACCGCGAATGGATCTCAGGCTCAGAAATGGAATTATGAATTTTTTCTTCCTTAGATGCAAGAAAATCATACAAAATTTCTCTTAAATCACCTTTGGAAGCTTCTGAAAAATACTTCAAAATATTAGAGGGACTTCAAACTTTCAGGATTTATTGAGTAGGGTATTTTTATTATACAAAACAAACCACTAATGGATCTCAGGCTCAGAAATAGAATTATGAATTTTTTCTTCCTTGGATGCAAAAAAATCATACAAATTTTCTCTTAAATCACCTTTGGACGCTTCTGAAAAATACTTCAAGTTGTCAGAAGGACTTCAAACTTTCAGGATCTATTGAGTAGGGTATTTTTATTATACAAAACAAATCTCGAACGGATTTCAGGCTCAGAAATGAAATTATCAATTTTTTCTCCCTTAGATGCAAGAAAATCATACAAAATTTCTCTTAAATCACCTTTGGACGCTTCTGAAAAATACTTCAAGTTATCAGGGGGACTTCAAACTTTCAGGATTTATTGAGTAGGGTATTTTTATTATACAAAACAAACCTCGAACGGATTTCAGGCTCAGAAATGGAAATATGATTTTTTTTTCTCACTTAGATGCAAGAAAATCATTAAAAATTTCTCTTAAATCACCTTCGGACGCTTCTGAAAAGTACTTCAAGTTATCAGAGGGACTTTAAACTTCCAGAATTAATTGAGTAGGGTATTTTTATCATACAAAACAAACCACGAATGGATCTCAGGCTCAGAAATGAAATTATGAATTTTTTCTCCCTTAGATGCAAGAAAATCATACAAAATTTCTCTTAAATCACCTTTGGAAGCTTCTGAAAAATACTTCAAAATATTAGAGGGACTTCAAACTTTCAGGATTTATTGAGTAGGGTATTTTTATTATACAAAACAAACCACTAATGGATCTCAGGCTCAGAAATAGAATTATGAATTTTTTCTTCCTTGGATGCAAAAAAATCATACAAATTTTCTCTTAAATCACCTTTGGACGCTTCTGAAAAATACTTCCAGTTATCAGGGGGACTTCAAACTCTCAGGATTTATTGAGTAGGGTATTTTTATCATACAAAACAAACCGCGAATGGATCTCAGGCTCAGAAATGGAATTATTAATTTTTTCTCACTTGGATGCAAGAAAATCATACATTTCTCTTAAATCACCTTTGGACACTTCTGAAGAATACTTCAAGTTATCAGAGGGACTTCAAGTTATCAGAGGGACTTCAAACTGTCAGAATTCATTGAGTAGGGTATTTTTATCATATAAAACAAACCGTGAATGGATCTCAGGCTCAGAAATGGAATTATGAATTTTTTCTCTCTTAGATACAACAAAATCATACAAAATTTCTTTTAAATCACCTTTGGAAGCTTCTGAAAAATACTTCAAGTTGTCAGAGGGACTTCAAACTTTCAGGATTTATTGAGTAGGGTATTTTTAACATAAAAAACAAACCGCGAATGGATCTCAGGCTCAGAAATTGAATTATGAATTTTTTCTCACTTAGATACAACAAAATCACACAAAATTTCTATTAAATCACCTTTGGTAGCTTCTGAAAAATACTTCAAGTTATCAGAGGGACTTCAAACTGTCAGAATTCATTGAGTAGGGTATTTTTATCATATAAAACAAACCGCGAATGGATCTCAGGCTCAGAAATTGAATTATGAATTTTTTCTCACTTAGATACAACAAAATCACACAAAATTTCTATTAAATCACCTTTGGAAGCTTCTGAAAAATACTTCAAGTTATCAGAGGGACTTCAAACTGTCAGAATTCATTGAGTAGGGTATTTTTATCATATAAAACAAACCGCGAGTGGATCTCAGGCTCAGAAATGGAATTATGAATTTTTTCTCACTTAAATGCAAGAAAATCATACGAAATTTCTATTAAATCACCTTTGGAAGCTTCTGAAAAATACTTCAAGTTATCGAGGGACTTCAAACTGTCAGGATTTATTGAGTAGGGTATTTTTATCATACAAAACAAACCGCGAATGGATCTCGGGCTCAGAAATGAAATTATGAATTTTTTCTCCCCTAGATGCAAGAAAATCATACAAAATTTCTCCTAAATCACCTTTGGACGCTTCTGAAAAATACTTCCAATTATCAGGGGGACTTCAAACTCTCAGGATTTATTGAGTAGGGTATTTTTATCATACAAAACAAACCGCGAATGGATCTCAGGCTCAGAAATTGAATTATGAATTTTTTCTCACTTAGATACAACAAAATCACACAAAATTTCTATTAAATCACCTTTGGAAGCTTCTGAAAAATACTTCAAGTTATCAGAGGGACTTCAAACTGTCAGAATTCATTGAGTAGGGTATTTTTATCATATAAAACAAACCGTGAATGGATCTCAGGCTCAGAAATGGAATTATGAATTTTTTCTCTCTTAGATACAACAAAATCATACAAAATTTCTTTTAAATCACCTTTGGAAGCTTCTGAAAAATACTTCAAGTTGTCAGAGGGACTTCAAACTTTCAGGATTTATTGAGTAGGGTATTTTTAACATAAAAAACAAATCGCGAATGGATCTCAGGCTCAGAAATTGAATTATGCATTTTTTCTCACTTAGATACAACAAAATCATACAAAATTTCTATTAAATCACCTTTGGAAGCTTCTGAAAAATACTTCAAGTTATCAGAGGGACTTCAAACTGTCAGAATTCATTGAGTAGGGTATTTTTATCATCTAAAACAAACCGTGAATGGATCTCAGGCTCAGAAATGGAATTATGAATTTTTTCTCACTTAGATACAACAAAATCATACAAAATTTCTTTTAAATCACCTTTGGAAGCTTCTGAAAAATACTTCAAGTTGTCAGAGGGACTTCAAACTTTCAGGATTTATTGAGTAGGGTATTTTTATCATACAGAACAAACCACAAATGGATCTCAGGCTCAGAATTGGAATTATGAATTTTTTCTCACTTAGATGCAAAAAAATCATACAAAAATTCTATTAAATCACCTTTGAAAGCTTCTGAAAAATACTTCAAGTTATCAGAGGGACTTCAAACTTCCAGAATTAATTGAGTAGGGTATTTTTATCATACAAAACAAACCGCGAATGGATCTCAGGCTCAGAAATGAAATTATGAATTTTTTCTCCCTTAGATGCAAGAAAATCATACAAAATTTCTCTTAAATCACCTTTGGACGCTTCTGAAAAATACTTCAAGTTATCAGAGGGACTTCAAACTTCCAGAATTAATTGAATAGGGTATTTTTATCATACAAAACAAACCGCGAATGGATTTCAGGCTCAGAAATGGAATTATTAATTTTTTCTCACTTGGATGCAAGAAAATCATACATTTCTCTTAAATCACCTTTGGACGCTTCTGAAGAATACTTCAAGTTATCAGAGGGACTTCAAACTGTCAGAATTCATTGAGTAGTATATTTTTATCATACAAAACAAACCGTGAATGGATCTCAGGCTCAGAAATGGAATTATGATTTTTTTCTCACTTAGATACAACAAAATCATACAAAATTTCTTTTAAATCACCTTTGGAAGCTTCTGAAAAATACGTCAAGTTGTCAGAGGGACTTCAAACTTTCAGGATGTATTGAGTAGGGTATTTTTAACATAAAAAACAAACCGCGAATGGATCTCAGATTCAGAAATGGAATTATGAATTTTTTCTCACTTAGATACAACAAAATCATACAAAATTTCTCTTAAATCACCTTTGGAAGCTTCTGAAAAATACTTCAAGCTATCAGAGGGACTTCAAACTTTCAGGATTTATTGAGTAGGGTATTTTTATCATAAAAAATAAACCACGAATGGATCTCAGGCTCGGAAATGGAATTATGAATTTTTTCTCACTTAGATGCAAAAAAATCATACAAAATTTCAATTCACCTTTGAAAGCTTCTGAGTAATACTGCAAGCAATCAGAGAGACTTCAAACTTTCAGAATTTATTGCATTTAATTTTTCACTCAAAACCCACTGAGAGGAAAAATTTGAAATTCTGAAAGAGTTTCAAGGCAAACTGTACTAAAAAATCAAATTATTTGAGCCTCAAATAACAAAGTTGTCCTTTTTTTCAGCTAGTTGACGACTCTGCAGTAGCAGACGACGAGGAGGAAGAAGAAGAAGAACTCAAAGACCAAGGCACATCCACAGAAGATCTAACAATTTTATGCGCCAACTGCAAAACTTCCATCCTAGACGCCAGCACTGTCAATGGAGAAATTGAATTGGCTCCTGATTTACATGAAATCATCAGGGAATCACTTAAGAAAAATAGAGTCGCCGCAGGTAAGAGTCAGACTCTTTTTTATCAATACATTTTTCTTTGATACACAAAACCAATGTGTACAAACTGGAATCGATTTTAGGAGATGAATCTGAAAAAGTATTGAGGAGGAGAAAAATTCAACCTCTTTATCAAGAACTCGAAGATTCGTCATGCAGCAGTTTAACTGAACTACCTGCAGCAGGTAAAAATAAAGCTGCCAAACCTGCATGTGCTTTGAGTTGATTTTTTTTTAGAGTGTATTGATTTTTGCATTTCTCTTTTCATTCCTTTCTTGTCTAATTTCAGCTTAAATAAATCCTTATCTCCTATTTCATTGTAGCTGATGATACTTCACAATACGATGACGGCGAAGTACCCAGTGAAGTTGATTCAGAAGAATCTCAAGAACGTCCGGCAAAACGTAGAAAGCTCGACAAATCCTCCAAAGAAATTCAAGATGAAATTGATCAGGCATTGGCTAAACAAAGCACCAAATCGAATAGTAACGATGGTAGTGATGAGGAGGAAGATAACAATCAAGAGAGTGATTCTAATTTCTCTGAAGATGATAAGGAAAAACTGGAAGCTGAACGAGCAGCTGAAGAAGCCAGACTTGAGCAAATTAGACTCAAATGTGAGGAATTGTTCAAGGAAGAACCAGAGTTCACGTAAGAATATTGCCTTTTTACCATTTGTTTATAATAAATAATTATTGTTTTGTAGATTTGAACCATTGTCGCTTCTTCAAATCACTCTGAATGTGATTAACACGCAAAACATTCCTGATTACACTGCACTTCCCTACACCCAAAAACCAACAAAATGCAATTGTAAAGTTTGCAATGAAGAATTCAAAAATGTGAGATTGTTGGCGCTTCACGAACTGACCCATATGGATGTTGATTTTGAAGAGAGAATTGATAATCCTAATCCGTGGCCTATGACCCATCCTCATGCTAAGATTAGGAATAAGTGGCTCACATGCTTTGATGAAAATGGGTAAGAATTGAAAAAATTGATGTTTGTAAAAAGATTTTATTGGAATACTTTTTTGTTACAGGCAAGAGGAAGAATGTGTATCAGAAGCCTCAGAAGACGTTGTAGAAGATGCTTCATTATTAATGGAAGACAAAGACAAAACTATGGAAGTGTCTAAGAAAGATGAAGTTATTCTGGTCAATATGAAACCAATGGTAAACGGAACGTATTTAGGCGAATACACCAAAGAAGAAAGAAAAGCTTTTTACCAATGCATGAGAATAGGCGGTCAAACCAAAAGATTCTGCGCTTTGTGCAGATACTGCTTCAAAGACAATTGGGCAATAGAAAGCCATTACTTCTCATTTGCTTGCCATTATACTTGCAGGTATTGTGGCATGAGATTCAACAAACAAAGGCACCGATTCGATGAGCATACCAAAGAACACAAAAAGAAAAACGACATTATGTCTGATAAGATTTATACAGCGAGCAAAGTTAACAACACCATGCCAAAGATTGTCCAACCCGATAAAATCAGAAAAATCGTCCCAGGCGATCCTGAAAAACCCAGAGAGATACGTCTTGAAGATTATTCAACCCCACCAGTGATAACTAAAGGCGGCTACGACCAAAGAGGCACCAGATACAGCCACTTGAATGGCGAACGCCAACCAACCTACCACCAAAACGTCCAATTAGTCAAAGTCAAAGAAGAACCCAAAGACAATGACGCCTCGCCGCAAAACAAAACCCAAAATCAAGCCTACTTTTGCAGGAAATGCTACAAAGTCTTTTTCAAATTGGACGAATTCAATGCGCACAGTAAAAATTGTGATTATAACAGTTATGTGCCAGCTGCAAGGGCCAATCCCAGTCCCACTGCTGCAATTAATAAAGCACCAGTTATTAAAGTTAAAACAGAACTTAGGGTTAATCCTGAGGTTAATTTGGTTAATGGGGCTGGAAGGCCTATGAGAAACTGTACCAAGGATATTGGACCATATAAGGTAAGAATTTGTATTATTACTTATATCAAACATTATTATTTTATTTAAAATTGAAGTTTGTTGTTCATTGTCCACTTGTCAATATAAATATACTATTTCTGATGGCTTTTTTAAGTTGTAACTCTCACACAATATACAATCAAACTTATTCTTTCCAGGACGAAGTTTACATACCAAAACAAATCCTAAACGAAACTTTACCAGGCCCACCTCAAAGTTTCATTTGCCACATTTGCGGTACCCCGTTCCCCACAATTTATTCGAGGAATAGCCATATGCGAATCCACAAGGGCGAAACTCAAGGTGCAAACGGAAGTCCGTCTCACATGCAACAGAATATTCTGAAACAGAGATTACAGCAGCAACACCAGCAGCAGCAGCAACATCAGAATTTCCAGATGCAGCGGGCCGCAATGCAGCAGCAAAAACAGATGCAGCAACAGAAACAGCTGATGCAGAAACAGTTCCAACAGAGGCCTCCACAGGTGCATAGTAATTATACGCACTTTGATGCTGAAGTTAGGGTAAGAATTTGAACTTTCTAATGATACAATTTCGAACATTGGTTTTTCTATAGATTAAGGAGGAACCAGTAGTTAGTTTTGAGCCAATGGTTGAAATTCATGAAGGCCACGAGACTCCATCTCCGCCGCCGCAAATGCCCTCGAGACCATCAATGCCAACTGCTTTTGGAAATGCCATTTCGCTCACCCCGATTGTCAAAAAACCAGCCTTGAATCCTAACATTCTCAAGTTAGTTGAGAACAATCCCAATATAAGTTTGGTATCCAAGAAGCCATCTACTCCACCATCCAGGCCAAGTTCATCAGAAATCACTCGCTCTAATATAATCAAAAACGCTGGCGGTTATCAAGGGCCTTACGCTCCTACCAGCCAACAAAGAGAAACTACAACTAATTATATAACAGTTTCTCCTAATTTGATGCCCAATGACGATAACAAATCGTACAAATGCTCGAGTTGTTGGGAGGCGTTTTCAAATAAATCGCATTTGTATTTCCACAAGAAAAATCAGTGTGAAGGTTCGAGGTTCCCTTGCCCGTTTTGCAAGAAGCGGTTCGGTACTGAGGCCGCTTATAGTTCTCATATATTTTATTCCCACCCGGAATGAAACAAAGCTTAGGCTATTACCAAAAATGTATACTAAATTTTTTCAGCCCTTGGAAGACTGATTTTTAGGCGATATATAATGTTCTCTTATTTTTTATTTTTGTTCTGCATGATGTAAATATATTATATTATTATTGTGAGAATTTTGATTATTTTTTTAAATATAATCCATCTATATGAAATAATTATGTGATTTTCATTTGTGTTAGAATAATAGGTTCTTTTATATTATGTGTAAAAATTATTTCATCATACATTATATAGTGGTACATACAAGTTTAAAATGAATAAAATTTATATTTAGAGGTAATGTATTTTTATTATTGAGTCCTTTTGAAGATTTCAGGCAAGACCCAAGTCAATTTTTATGTAAAAGTAAGGTAAGATAAACCGCGCCAATAGACTGGAAAAGATGTCGAGCACACTGAGGATGTTCCAGAACTAAGGTGATGTCAGGAACAGAAACACCTCAGGATGACGACAAGAAAAGCTATTAATAAAGCTAAAAACACCAAACTACCTTAGGATTGGGACCTTTATAGGTACCAACTAGGTACGAAAAGTTGTATGACAAAAACAAAGAGATGCTTGAAGGACATACTGCAATGAAGTAGAAAACTACGGAAGCAGCTAGACTTCAGAAAGCTCTTGATAAAGACCCATTTCGGGAAATTGGTAACCTGTGCACCTTTACTGCCCACCTTCAAGAAAACACATAGTTACTACTAGCAAACCACTTTTATGACTCCACAATTGTGGAGGATCAGACGCAGGTAAAATACATACACTCTGTGGCTGATTGGCAACTAGCGAATGAGATAATATACAAGGAAAAAATAGGTTGGGCAATTTCAGGCTTCTCTGTCTTCAAAGCACCCAGGACCTGACGACATGTATCTAGCCTCACTTCAGTGGGGTCTGAAGCCACTTTTGCTGCACCTAGTAGGAATGTTTAGGGCGCTTTTGGCGCTGAGATATATATTCAAGACTTGGAGAGAAGTTAAAGTGGTATTTCTACTCAAACTACTGACTACAAAACCGTCAAGGTATATCGCCCCATAAGCCTATCATCATTTTCTCTAAAACAATGGAGAGGCTACGCGAGAGGTACATGAGGGATGGAGTGTTCCTCCTGAATTCCAGAAAATAGGAGACGAACTAGACAACGAAAACAGACAATGGGTGGTATGAATAAAAACGAAGTACTTGCTACTACTACAAGTTAGTATTAGTATGTTCTACGTAGTATTTACTTCAAAACGAAGTAGATACTACATTTCGAAACTACCAAAATGTAGTATCTACTTCGTTTTGAAGTAAATACTACGAAGAACATACTAATACTTGTAGTAGTAGCAAGTACTTCATTTTTATTCATACCATCCAATGAGTAATTATTTAGTAGTAGGTATAGTATATAAAAATCGAAGATCTTAAAGCTATATTGGTTGTTGCTTAACTATACTTTTTTCATTTGTACAGAAAGCGGAAAATGTATTTGTGAAATGAAAATTAAATTTGAGAAGATGGGAAATTGTAATTCAGAATAAGTTATTAATCAGAGCATGAAATTTAAGAGTGAGAAGAGGGACAGAATATTTAGAAATGGGATTTTGTAATTCAGAATAGGCCATAACGTGCAGTTCAGAATCAGTGATCAATATCATGAGCTGTGCATATTATTTCGAAATATTGGAAATTTAAGGATTTTGTAATGGCAGAACCAAATTCTCAAAAGTGATATTCTATTAGTCTGATAAAACTGTTCATAATTATAAGTCTGAGCCATTTGGACTGTGTATGATTTGGATTCATGGGGAACCTATAGGTATACCTTAGGTACTAGATTTTCTAATAAACAAAAATCTGAGCCTGTTCAAATCTTTGATAAAAATTTTGTTTCAATAGGCGCTCAGAAAAGAAATAAGGTGATTGTGTGAAAATCTTTGCATATCAGACCAAGGAACGCCATAGAAAAGCTGCGAAACAGGATTATTGAATTTAAATTTTAAATATTGCCGCCATTCAAGTCTGAGTGAGAGCTTGTCAACATTTTGGCAACAGCGCAGATAATGCTAATCCACTCATTTACAAACTCCTTCCATCCTTGTCTTTCCTATAAACAAAACAAGGACGCATATGTCACTAGAACTACTATTCAATTTCAATTTTCGCGCCTTGTCAACTCAAATCAAATATCAAATATTTTGCCAATTTTATTTATTTTTAGCAAAACAAATATAATTTTTTCTCCTCAGTATTTTACATTATCATTCTTCCACATGTTTTCCCTAAATAGCAAAAAGTACAATAATTTTTCACCATTATTGTACAGGTTGTCCTAACCTAACTTTTCCTGTAACACTTCCAGCTTCAAGTTATGACCAAAATATTACTCTGTGGCATCTTATTATCCCTCACAGCCGTTCCATTGATCCTCAGTTATGTGCTAAAACGAAAATACCGCCAGTTAACCCTGCAATTACAAAAACAAGATGACACCAGCTACTACGAGTGCATGTTTTTCGATTTCAACAACTTTTGTTGCAAGCCCCATTTGATCAACAAAGAAGACTGCGGAGAAAATTGCTCTTACACCCGACTGCAAAGGCTTTTACGTTACATTGGCAGCGCTAAAAAAAGTATCAGTATGTGCGTTTATATGATTACTTTACAACAAGTTGCTAAAGAATTAGCCGAAGCTAGTTCAAGAGGAGTAAATGTACGTGTTATTACTGATAAAACTATGGGCAAAACTGTACCGTCTCAAAGTAATTTACAGTTCTTTAAGAAAAACGGTAAACATTTTTTCTATTAATTATTGCCTTCTGTATTGAATATATGTTTTTTTAAAGGTATTTCATATAAAACTTCTCCTTCGGTCAATGAAATGATGCACCACAAATATTGTTTGATTGACGAAAAAGACCCAGTGGGTTGCAAAGTGTTTTTTGGAAGTCTCAATCTGACCTGCCAAGCTCTTTGTAAGAATTTCGAAGCCATTTGTTTGACAAATAATCAAGAAATAATTCACAGGCTCAGCGAGGAATTTGAAGAAATGTGGGCAATGTTTTAAGGGATTTTATTTTGTAAATATAATAAATACTGGGTGATTAACTAAACATCACATAATCTTGACCTTCTTTCAAGTTGAGGGTGCGCAAATTGTTTTCAAAAACTCCTTCGGTTAAATCCTAGAAAAAAAACATCATTAGCTGATAATTATTATTAGTTTTAAAAACTCCTTACAATTTTTATACATATCACAAAAGGAGGCACTGCATCTTTGAAATGAATTATATCAACCTCCTTGCCTTGATTGTCATCAGACGCGCTATATTTTTTGCCAATTTTGTTCAGGTCAACATCGCAAAACGCCCTCACTTTATCTTTATTTTCTTGGGATAGTGAATTGTAGAACTTTCGGCCTTGTTTGCCTGCGTTCCATATTGTGAATTGTGTCCATTTGGTTAGCATTATTGTTTCCAGACGTTCTACTCTCAATGTCCAGATGGTTTCTCTGAAAAAGTATATGTATGTACAGGGTGGACACTAGTAGGTAGCTACTAAAATGAAATTTCACAATTTTTTAGTTGACATTTTGTGTTTAGGTCGAGGGGTCAACCACTATGCTCATAAATTAATGTAATAGTAATAGTATGTTGTCCAATAGCAGGCGGTAAAGCCGATGCAGCTATTGTTACTTATTTGAGTTGTGTTTACTTGCAGGTCACATAATTTTCTTTTCTTTTTTCACCTTTTTATCTTTTTTTTTTCTCTCCTTTTTGCCCTTTTTTTCCACTAGACACTGTAATGTATCATTTTTGCTGCACTATCCTTAAGTTCCAATAGTCCAATCTGTTTTTAAACGCGTTTATACTACTGGCAGTCATGGTGCTCTCCGTCAAGGCATTCCACGAATGAATGACACGATTTCTTAGGAAGTTTTTTCTAGGAAGCTTGGCTGTTTTTTCTTTGTCCAGTTTTTTTGAGTGCTCTCGAACTTCGAAGTTGTTGGTTTTGATTTTAAACATCTCAATCAGATCTCTTCTGTGCCTTCTTTTTCTTAATATAGTTAATCGGTATCTCTCCAGTCTCTCAGAATAACTTAATTCTCTCATTTCTGATGGTATCTTGGTTTTCCCTCTGTATTTTTTCTAAGATTTCTACGTCTTTGATAAAATATGGATTCCACACTGTGTAGGCATATTCAAGTTCAGGCCTGATGAAGCTTTTGTATAGTTTGCCTATAATTTCGACAAAGTGGTCTTTAAAAGCATGTGCAGACAAATATACTGGTTTTTTTGGGCTATTTTCACAATGTGGTTTTCCCAGTTCAAGTCGGATGTTACTAGGACTCTGATATCATTCTGCTCAAAGACAGTTGTTAATCCTGTGCTGTTCAGAGTATATTCTTCATTGGGCTTGTTTGTGCCGATTCTAAGCACTGTGCATTTTGACTATATAGTTGAGTTTCATACCCCAACTTCCAGTTACTTCAACATTAAGACAGTTGATATATAGTTTTCCGTCGTCTGCAAAACTTGTCATTTTTGTTTCAATACAATTAACAAGATCAAAAGGGTACCTATGTTATAAAGAGCAATGGGCCCAGAACCGATTCCTGGACAACCCCACTCCTCACAAGGTGTTGAAATTGTTCCATTGACTCGAACCTGGTAGTATCTTTTACACAGAAGATCTGTGATGAGTGTCAACAGCCTTCCCCGTACTCCAAAATGCTCTAGTATTCCAAGCAACAGGTTATGTGGCACTTTACCAATAGCCCTTTGATAATTGAGATATATAAAATCAGTGGGCTGAAAATTATCATGGTTTTCTGTCCAGTTATTAGGATTCTCCAGTAGGTTGGTGACAGTGGAGCATCTTGATAGAAACCCGTGCTGTGATGGTGGTATTAAATTGTTATCAATGAAAAAAATTGTCAATTCGTCGACCATGACTTTTTCTATACACTTCAATGCGCTACATGTTAGACTTATGGGTCGATAATTTTCCGGTTTGTGTCTGTTGCGTTTTTCAAAGAGGAGGGTCACTATAGAGAGCTTCCATTTCTCTGGTATGCGTCCGGAGTCTACACATTCCTGCATTACCCCAGAGAGTAGAGAACCAACAGACTCACTACAGTTTTGCAGCATAATGGTTGGTATCCTATCTGGCCCTGGAGTTGTGGCCTTTTTCATACTATTTAGGGCTCTTTTGACTTTTTCTTCTGTGAATTCTATGGTGTCTATCGAATTCCAGACTTCCATATTTGGCATTCACTGATCAATGAATCTCATGTATTGTCATCCCAAGAATTGCGACTGATTGCCAATGATTTTCAAATATTTTTGTATGATTACCAGGTGATTTCCATTTTTTCTGGGGATTCCTATATCCTTTCCAATTGATTACCTGATTTCCTCGGTCATTTCCCACAATCATCCGATTTCCAGCTGATTTTATTACCAAAACGATGTCTAATTGTTAAGTTCCGCATTGATATGACCAAAATAAACAGTATTTTCTCTTATAAAACCACGTTTCCACTGAAAAATTGGCATCTTCAGTATTTGAAACCCTTCCAGAAGTTAGCAACTTTAATTTTCATGCTTGTCCACACCCACACCGATTTTGTTGTAGATATACATAGTTGTTGAGCCCTAGTGTGTTTACACTGCATAATATGGATGTAAAATAATGGATATTTCCTTGATTTCACTAGGATGTTCATCTAAATCAGATACATCTTCAGTTAGGGTTTTACTCGACAAACTTATTTCTGATTCAGATGTGCTATCATTTCTGCTTCTCGCACTGCCTAGTATTTATTCTACTTTCCCTTTTCAAGTTCTTATTGCCTTGGATTCCCGACTTTTTCTTTGTGTCTTCTTCAGGGACATTCCCATAGCTCTTAATACTCGATCGACAAACGTCCCTGCTTCTCTGAAAGGAACCAAATTAAAGTTGACGCCTGAATAATGTCTAAATTGTAGAAAATCGCAATTGCTAAACCCTGATGTGTGAAGAAATTCTGTCTCTTCTTTTGGCAAGTCGGATTTAAGAGATGTTTCAGAATTCATGTTTTCATTTTTATGCTCTACAACATCGTCATATTTTAGGTCTGTTCTCGCAGAAATCACAAACCCGTCAAAGCGAATTTCATTGGTTGAAAATAGTCAAAAACTAAAAAAACTGGTGGTTGGCGATTTGCACCAATCAAAAACGCTCTGACTGGTTTGTGATTTTTATGAGAACAGACCCAATCTTCATCTCGTTCTTCTTATTCTTCAAGTAGGTACTAAATTCTTCATAGTCTCGGATTCAGTTATTGGGAAACTTTTTGGGATATCAAATTTATTTTAAATTGTCTAGCACTCATACCTCTGCTCCAACCGACATGAAAACCGTTCCAGAACCATTAATTTCTAGTTGCCCACCTATTTTACAATAAGTTGAACGTCTATCCTACTTGACAAATGAATTGATCAACTGGAAATTACTGTTTGGAACGGATCTCATGTCGGTTGAAGCATAGTTATGTTGCCTAAAACTTAGTCTTAAAGGCAAATACACAACTGATCGGTACGCTTTATCGTTAAAAATGTATGATATGCGATTTCTGCGTTAGAATGTGATAATACTTCCAGCGATTACCACATGATTCTCAGTGATTGCCAGTAGATTCCTATGTTATTCCCATGGAGTCCTAGGAGATTCCTAGCGATTCCTAGGTTATTCTCAGGGACTCCTAAATGATTTCCATGTATTTCTGATTGATAACTATGTGATTTCCAAAAAAATGGTACAATGATTTCCACTAGTGGTTCACCCCTCGGTTTAGGTGCTTAATTAGGAACCCTAGAATCCCATAGAGTTCCACTGGAATCCCACATGCTTGTGCCTATAATTTCAAAGGAGTTTATCCATTTTTTTTTGTATCTCGTTCAGAAATTCACCTATTAATCTGAACCACCCTGTACTTATTATTATTTTCAATTGAGTGATAACGATGTGATAACTTACTCTTCTATTGAAAATGTAGTTTGATTCATGTGGAATGTATAGATAAGTAAGATTTCATCAACTCTAGCCACTTTACCGCCCAAATCCAAATGCTTGTTGAAAAATACCAAATCTTCAGGACAACCTTGTTTGCTTTCGAAGAAGCCACCTACTCTAATAATAATACATATAGGACAATTTGATTAAGTGAACCAACTATTTACCTTTGATAAACATTTCTATGACAAAACCATGTTGGCATTATCACAGTAGGCCCATGAGATGTGAACACTTGTAAATTGAGTTGGTCTTTGGTAAGGGAATTGGCCCATTTCGTGTATCTTATGGTTGAGTTTTGAGGATCTCTTTTAAATTGACAACCAACAATCTGAAACCATATATATGTATATGTCAATGACATTCCTAAAATATTGGCAAAGAGACCAACAATTATCATGCTAACAGAAGCATGGCTGAGGGATGGATTAGATGACAGCATTATAATTTATAAATCTAGATGGTTATAGTATTTTTAGAAATGATCGTCCAAACCAAAGATGAAGTAGATGGACATCAAATGAGATGTAGCTTTTCTAAGAAATACATAACAGATATACTAATAGAAGCAGTCTGGCTAGATATACAAATAAGTAGCCAAAATAAAAACACTTGTAGCATGTATTTACAGGCCAGGAAACATTACACAAGCTAATACCCAGATGATCAATGCAATTGAAACTGCTTTCACTAGTAATAATATACTCGGGGGGTCAACCCCTTCCGGAAATACGTTTACACTTAGCCCGAATTACCTCCGAAATACTTCCAAGTACCTAGAAATACCTTAAAGTACCTCGAAATACCAGGTATTCCCGTCGAAGTACGCGAAATCCCATGGAATTATCGTCGAAGTACGCGAAATACCTTTAAATACCTTCAAAGGAAGTCCCGCAACAAATTTTCATTCTATAATATTTCAATTTCAGGTGATGAGAAAGAGAATTAAATGTTCTTGGTACTTACATAAAAAAAATGCTTTTAAATAGGTCGAAATACCTCGGCTTATCACAAAATACTTCGAATTACCTTAAAATACTTCGAATTACCTCGAAATACTTTGAAGTATTTGGCAATACCACGAAAAACTAGGTTCGAATTACCACCACCGAAATATCTAGAATTTTGCGAAATACATGCAAAATACCGACATTTTCGCAATACGTGTACACATTTTTACAGAATGGTTGACCCCTCGAATATAATCCAACATTTATATTGGAAGATTTAAACTACCCCAACAACATGGAATCTTATAGTTTCTCCACCAGATAAAAAAGCTGAAGATTTTATGGATATGTATCAAGAAATAGTGAATTTCCCAACACAATTCCAGAACAAGCAAAACTCTCTTCTGGATTTGTTACTGTGCCATATGTGACCTGCGATCAGAAGCTCCTATTGTCCCATGCAGCGATCACGTTTCCATTATTGCCAAAACGCAGCTTAAACTTCCACCAAAGCCAACTGATAAAGTCCTGAGAAGAAACTACTACATTGCAACAATCTGAAATCTTGAACGTGACTAAATTTAAGAAAAATCAATAACATATACTATTGAAGTCAGTACAAGTAAACCAGTAGAAGCCATGGATAAATCAGCAGTTATTAAGAGAAATATGTTATTGGACATAAATTACATGATGACAAAAATTATCATAGCTTTATATAGGGTTGTTGTTATGTATGGAAAAAACCAATCAAATATCTCAGAACAGGCCCAAGAGAAATGTACCAAATTTCCTATGGAGGTTTTTGAGAATGCCTGATGCAGTGGTAGTACTTGCAATATTGCCAAGTATACCGTTTGTTAGATGCCGCATGTTATTAATTTTCTGAAACGAAAGTTCCTCTTCATTTTATTGTAATTGATTGAGCGTCCCAACATTAGTAAAATCCTCCCATTCTGAAATACAAGACCATTTCCATACATTTCAACAAAACAGCTTTATATAAGACCATTATTTCCATACATATAACGACCATTCTGTGTAAAGCAAAACAACCTACTGTATCATAACTTTCTTCAATAGCTTTTTCATATTGTTTCATGATTCTGTCTGGTAACATAACATCGTCCTAAAAGAAACAATTTATACCAGAATATGACTTAAATAAAGTAGAATCTTACAATCTCTTGGAAACACAAAAAGTTTCCAGAACTGATGGCAACTGCACGATTTTTAGAACAACCAACTGAAAAACCAAATAAGTAGATTGCAATTTGAAATAGACATTATAATTCTGACCTCCTTTTGTACTATCTTCATTTCTGAATATTTTGAAAGGCACCCCAAAGTTTTCAAAAGTACTTTTCCACTCGTTTAGCAACTCGGGTGTGCCATCAGTACTGCAATCGTCGCAAACGCATATTTCCAAGTTCAGGACACCAATAGCCGTTTGTTTGAGTATATTTTCGAAACAACGCTTTATCCAAGGGGCCCCATTGTATATTGGTATTATAATACTCTAGAAAATTAAGGCTTATTAATTTGATTTAAGTAAATTTTAAACGCTTACGATTAAGTGATTTTTGCCTTGCATGATAGCAGTGAATCACATTTTGCTTTGCGCAATAATATTTCTCACTGATCGAGTGCATGCAAGTTAAATTGTTTGGGAAATTATTAAATTTTTTTCCAAGGTTGAAATCATTAAAATTTTTCATAATTTGAATAAGCCAGGTTATGTTTCCTTAAGTTTGTGCAGTTCTCTACCTTAGTAAGCTATAAGAGGAGTTTAAAATATGATTTTGTCTACATCAAACAAATCCAGCTTCCATACTATAGTTAGTTTTACTGAATTAAAGTATAGTAGCAAAGACAAAAACATAGATTAGAAGAAGCAGGAATTTGCAATTTATATGCTCCAAAAAAAACGAAACTAGTAATAATCAAATTTGTAATAGTTTTTATTATTAAAATTAATAAAATAACAAAACGTGCAACCTTTATAAAAAAATATAAAAAATGACTAGAACCTCTGTTGCATTATCCTAAGCGAGATCAATACTATAATAGCAAAAAAAAAAAAAAATCATTCAATATCAACAATACAAACTCCATTCATATCATTTTCCCGATTAATTTGCGCCCGACTCCTAACTTTCAAGGGTGGCAACTTTTTCACTTCAAACCTCTCATCGATTTCCAATTTTTCCCTGACATTGAACAAAGGAAAACCGTCACCTCCGGGCCCCAAACTAGGCTTGCTTATAATAAAAACCCTATCTGTAGGCAAAAATTCCTTTGCCCTCACTGATGGTGCGGTTTTATTTCTTCTAGTTTTAGCACTTTGTGATCTTTTTGGTACGTTGTTCATTTGCAATTGGTGCCTGACAACTTGTATAGCGCTTCTAGGACGTTCTATGTCTGTGCTTTGAGTATTGTACTCATTGACAGGGTAGATTTCAGGGAATGTTATTGAGGAATCAGATGTGCTATTATTAACTTCAAGAGATTCTTCAGGATTTGGGTAAAAATCTATTAAGTTATAGTTGTTGGGTTCGTCAACTTTAACAGCGTCTCCATTCATTTTTGATACGTATTCGGTGAATGTTTGTATAGCATCTGGGTCTTCGTTGTTTGAAAGAGCTTCTCTTTCAGCTTTTATGCGTTGAATTTTTTGTAGCATTTCTTTTTTTTCGATGATTTCTTGTTCCATTACATCCATTTGTACTCTTAAGTTTAATTGTTCATAGTTTTTGTCGATGTAGCTTAGAAGCCAATCATATCCTGTTTGAATTCCTGGATCAGATTTGTTGTAGTCATTTGCACTAGAGAAAAAACTTTAATAAACCAAAATTATAAAAGTTGTCAAGGACTCACCTACAACTTTGTACTAAAGTGGGACACTTAAATCTATTAACAAGTTGTTCAATATTAAGGCACTCAATTATATCAATTTCATCCAAGGCACTTTCTCGATCTTGTTTGTTGGCCAAAATAAGTAAAGGTTTACCAGCGATTTTATCGTTGCTCAGCATTTCTTCTAAAACATCTTTTACTTCTTTGAATCGGTCCGAATCGCAAGAATCTACTACAAATATCACCCCGTGTACATCTACAAAGTATTTGTACCAGATTCCTCGAATATTCGGGCTTCCACCTATAGAAAATCTTATTAAGCAAAAGTAATTATGAGTGTATATGAAGTACCTAAATCAAATATTTTTATATCATATTGTTGGTGTTGCAATTCGATAACAGAAAAACCTATAGTGGGAATGGGATAGTGATCTACAGGCTCTCCGGCTAATCCTTTAGCTGCTACAGTTTTGCCAGCATTATCCAGCCCCACAAGTAATAATGCCAGCTTATTTCTGAAATCATTTATTTTCAATAATGTGTCAGAAAATGTTTGAGATGTTTTACCTTTTTATTCTTTCTGGACAACAATAATTTCCCATAGTAGGCCAAGACTGGACATTTCAGGAGGATTTTTGCTTCGGGGACATTTTTAAAGTTTTCAAAATCAAAACAAAAATATTGACTAGTTTTGTTGTCATCGTCTTTTCGTTTACGTCACATTTGAGAGACGGAAGTTAGCGGCAAACATAATGTTGCCATCTCTTTTCGTATTTCGTGCTTGAAATAGGACAGAAACATGCGCGGGAAATTTTGGCGCGAATCGTGCATGATAGGAAAAATGGCTGCAGTTATTTTCAAATGCAAAGAAAATTCACAAATTAAAAAATGCGAGTCTTTATACAATTCTCAAGTCATGATCCATATATCAGTCTCCAGAATTTTTCTCAAGAATCTAGACTTTATAGATTCTTATTGTTCTCGTCTCTAAGATATCTTGATTCGTGATTCGTGAGAGATTCCAACATTGAGTCATGAATATTCACTCAGTATCAATTCTTGAATTATCATCGATAATATTTAGAAAGTTTTGTTTTCAGAATTTTCATCTATTGAATCTTCCAAGATCTTGAATCTCATTTCTTCAGTTTTCATAACGGAGAGTCTTTTTGAGTCTGTAGTTGTTTTCAGAATCTTGAATCCATGAAGCAGTGATTCATGAATCTATGAGTCATGAGAAACGCTTTCTCAGAGCTCGTTTAACTGTATAGTTTTGCTGTTAAGCGCAGGAGATTCAAAATATCAATTATTCACACCCTAAATAGGTAAAATCCCTTATTTCTCCACCATCCAATTCGGCAACATTGTCTGCTATAGAGGGTTGTTATCTGGCAAAAGTTCAAAAACGCACGCGCCTCTCCCTATCCAAAATGTAGCAAGGTGCATGTATTTTGGTACAAAATTATTTATCATCCCCTATCACGGACACAATAGGGAACTTCCTATGATTTTTACCCTCCAATTTAACGGGGGTGAAATTTAATGGTTCACTTTTAAAATAGCTAAATAGTCGGATTTAGGGTGGCAGAGGGTGTGTATATCTATCTATGCGTGCTAGGATTTTTTACATTAATTTTAGTTTGGGGGTCTAAATAATGAAAGAATACTTTTCTAATAGAGAGGTGCTGAAAATCAAATGCTATAAGAAAGTAGCATTTTGAGACGGTTGAAGAAACAGATATTGGAAAGGCTCTTTGAGAAAGACACTCAATAAATAAGAAATTTTGATTTTTCACTAATCAACCTTATGGATTTATTTATGAGGTAGCGATAAAACCTGATAATAATATGTATCTTTTCTTTAAGGAAAAAGTCTAGACCGGACAAGCTACATTTTGGTGGCTTTCGTGATTTGATCGTCACTCCATATTATAGTTAGTCTGTCATGGCTGACCGTGCTTGTTGAATGCGCAAACGGATTTCAACTTTGCAGCCACCTGAATTGTCGATCAAAGAAATCTAGACTACCTGACAACAGCCTATACTGCGAATGTGACGCCCTTGTCAGTCGCAGACTACGATACCTTGGGTACAGTTTCCTGGAACCTGAGGAAATAAAGAATATCCGGCCTGTGCGGGTATGCACCTTTCTTAACAGTTACGGGCTCCTAAGGTAAGACAGGGCTGCACCAAGAGAGGGATAGCACAATGGACCACATGCGCCTCTACGTGCTGCCTGTGAAGGCTCTCCTTTCAAATCAATCAATCAACAATCAGTCAACATCCGTTACAGAACATTTGAGCTGATGAAGAATAAGACGAAACAGGAGAAAGAACAAGGAAAGAAATCTAGAAAAAAGCGAGGAAAAGCAAAGGAATGAAGCTCGCGAAATAAGCAAGGACGATTGCTCTGAAAACAGCGGAGGAAATATTTGCCAAAAATGGTAAGAAGCAAGTCCGAGAGAAAACTGAAGCTGAGTATGAATTTCGAACCCCCTCGTGGTAAGTCCTTTTCAATTTTTTTGAAAGTAATGGTTGTTCATGGAATGCCTCTATTCCTTAGGGTTTACCGGGGAGCCGTTTTTCCCGGGGAGCTGTTTTTTCCGAGGAGTTGTTTGTCCGGGAAGCGTTTTTCTGGGGAGCGTTTCGTCGCCTTCCTTACAAAGGGGCCTATCTCAAAAAATTGCTAAATTGAGTTGGGCCCTTGGGAGACATCATCAAAAGAGATACCTGCAGCTACCCTCTAAAAGTCGTATCTCAAATCCTCAAATATAGGTAATCTCGAAGGCCTATCTCAGATTTGGCATGAAAATAATCTCACAAAATATTTGTAAAAACTTCTTTTTTCTCTCCTGAAAAATCACTAAAAATGAGGAAGGGGACGGTTTTCCCGAGGAGCGTTTTTCCGAAGAGCTGTTTTTCCCAGGAGCCGTTTATCTCAATGAATCAATTTCCAATAAGCCCACATTTTCAAAGATTTCCAATTTCGTGGAGCATTGGCATAGAGTTTTTGAAGTGATTTCCTAGAGGAATCAAGTCCCTCACGTGTCGATACATGTACCTCCACATTTGACGAAGAAAACTGAACTTCTAGCCTCTATCTATCTTGATTCCAGGTAGAGATGGCCCTGAGAATATTCTCCAAAGAACTCAGAGAATTTACTGAGAATATTCTTTGGCCTTAAATTCTTGAGAATTTATATTTTTTTATGTTCAAGAATTTATGAGATTATACGGTAATTTTCGAGAATTTATGCGAAGTTAGCTGTAATTTTTGAATTTATCAGTTTATTGTGAAAAACGGAAAGCAGAGCTGGAGTCTCATGCATCCGTCATCCATTTTCCGAGGTCCGATATCTGAAAAACCTTCTATTCTGACATCAAATTTTTGTGCCACTGAGTACTGAGTGTATTTCCAGCTCTTTCTCTCAGCCTCTTAAAGAAACACAACCACATTTTTTTTGCACAATTTTTACCAACCGGAAAGTTATTAAATTGTCCCCGTACTGTACAGAGTGTGTGTAAAGAAATATTTAATTTAATATTAGTTCTGAGGAAATTCCTTCGAAAATTAAACCTAGAGGGTTGATATGAAAATATTTCAGAGAAAATAGGGACAACAAATTTCAATCTTTTTCTGATTTTGTATGTCAAAAAAATGCGAAAAGCCCCAAATGATGTTAAGAAGCTATATTCTTTGAAATTCTCTAAAATTTTCCAAAATTCTCCAATGTTCCCGAATATTCTTCGAGAAAATTCTCTCAAAATAAATTCTCGAGAATTTGCCATCTCTAATTCCAGGCTAGAACGTGCCACTTCCATTTGAAACTTCCCTCGTCCAGTGACAGAAATTGGATGGCTACCGTACTCTAACGTTTTCATTGAAAATGAGGCTTCCATTCATTACATTGTTTGACACCGAGGTGAACTTTGAATAATTATTTCTGATGTTTGATATACCGTATTTACTATAGATTTTATCTCTAGTCAACTTTTAGTAGGTACCACCATATTTAAAAACTGTACTTATATATTTTATCAATGGTAATCAATCAGCAATCTGAACAGAAGTCAAGGTTGGACAACATGCTTTAAATTTAAAATTATTGCGTTAGTACCTATATCGTCGAAAATTGATCAATTTTTAACCCTGGGTCCTATAACTTATATATTTGAGGATTTCTATTATATCTCCTGAACAACTTTCGATTTCATACAGGTGCAAGTTGATTTTATTGAATTTATTCTTCTTTTAGCAGAAGCTGACCATATTTATCAATACAATTTTAATCTAATTTAATTTGAAACTTATTTAATTGTTTGATTGGTTTTACCTATGTCAAGATTTAGTTGAGTTATATGCCTTATGTATTTCCTTTCCAGAATTATCAATTACCGTTTGCTGAGAATTTTTTTTTAGGTGTGTTTCTGAATTTTCACACTTCAATATTTTATGTAATTTAATTATTTATTCTTTTTAAATTCAGTGGCGCCCTTGCCATTCTGTACTAATTCAATTATTGACTCACCGCTAATAATTATTCGCTGAACAAACTGAGCATATTATGGTCCTCCTGTTAAATTGTTAAAAAAGGGGTTACAAGTAAAGATATTTTCCTTTAGTTTCTACATTGAGTATCTCTAAGTTCGGCAGGTATGACCTCAGTAATCCATATTTTACTTATTAGGATGTGGGTTTGGGTACTTAGTGTGGGGCCTCCTTATTTAAAGAGTTCAGCAGGAATGCCGTCGATATCAGCTGACTTAATTGTTTTCTAGAATCAGGATAAGAGATCATAATTTTGCCTAGCTATGCTAGAATCCCGATTTTTTTTATCTGGTTAAGTGTAGGAAAGAGGTAACTTACGATGGCATAAAATGGGCAATAGGCTCATTTGACAGCTTCGAATCACCGGGACTAGATGAAATAATACCAGCACTTTTACAAGAGGCGGTGGACCTAGTAGCACCACTTTCTGCAGGAAGGCTGTGCAGGGCCAGCCTGGCATCAGGCTATATTCCTGGATCCTGGAGAGAAGTAAAAGCGGTCTTTATCCCGTAACCTGGTAGAGATCCATCTCAGGCCGATCAGCTTATCGTCTTCTATGTTAAACTAACAGATAAACTAGATGAAAAGCACATCAGGGAAACCTCATTGAAACAGAGGCCACTTTACCAAAACCAACGTGCCTTCCAACCAGGCAAATCATGCGAATCAGCCTTACACCAACTGGTGACAAGAGTAGAGAACTCGCTAGAAAACAAGGAATTCGCACTAGTCACATTCCTTGATATAAAAAGAGCCTTTGACCTGGTTCAACTCCATAGTCAGAGCTGCTAGGCAACATGAGATTGATGATACCACATGCAGATGGATCAAATCCATGCAAAAACACAGGATTAGAAACTCGGAGATTGCTGAAACCTCTATAAAAGTAACCGCGACAAAAGAATACTCACAGGGCGGATTACTTCCACCACTCTCAGTTGTGGATGAATTCCTGAGGAAACTCAACGATCAAGGCTACTTCACCCTAGGGTACGCTGGTGACATAGTCATTGTCATTAGGGAAGGATTTACCAGGATGGTATCAAACGCATGATTTCTTGTTCTGACTTAAGAGAAAGCACTTAACATAGGTAAGTCTTATCCAGAAAACCCAAAAAACTTCAACATACCATCATACAGATAAAACTTTACGAAACCACTGACGAAGTCAAAGTAGAAATAGGATGTTTACAGGTCTGAATGTGTAGAAGAATCTTCATAAGAACAAAACCTTAACAACTTGAAATATGCAAATGACATCGTAATTTTTACTCCAGAAATATTAAAGGAGATTAGATTAGAAATGAACATGAGGAAAAATGAAATTTATGACCAACGAAAGCACACATGAAGCAACTATTCAAAACAATAAATGTTATTGAAGGTGAACAAAATGTCAAGAGTAAGAGCACGATCTTACCATGACGAATAAGATTCTAAATAACTAGAGTGAAAAGATTCAGTACATATTTGTAGGAAATCGTACAAACTGTGGCAACACCGGTCTAAACGAATCGTTTCCTCAATTTTCTCCGGCTCGCGGAAGGACCGGGGCCCAAGCGAAATCGCGCGCACATCGCCGGCAAACTTCGGTCGGTGCGACGTTTCTGAAAAAAAGCCGACGAGTTTGATTCTCACAAACAAACGCAGTCAATCGACCCTCTGGTCGTGTGCCGTCGTCGCGTTATCAATAAACTTTTGATTTTGTGCGTGTTTTCATTTGGATATCGAATATTTTTTGGAGGAGGTGACAGTTGTTGGGAGCCACTCTGGGTGGGATTCCCCGAATCCAGGTGAGCTAAAGGATGATTTAGGTGCGTTTTAAAACTATTCCGGCTCGAAGGACCTATTTAGCGGTAATAGGGGAGTAAAGAAGAAGATCGTGAAGGGATGATGTTATTTGTCATCAGAATTAAATTATGAAAAAATACACAAAAATGATGATCTTATCAGCAAAATAATATTTAATCAATTAAAACAATGTAAAGAGTAGTACGTTTACGTTACTTACATTGATTCCTAAAACACCTGGATATATGATCCTCAAAATTTAAATACGCTTAAATGGATTTGAAAGACTTTATATTGATTTTCATTTGTAGACTTTCTAATTAGAATGATTCTTGATATTTGCCAATGAATCCTTGCAAATGTCGCTTCTAATTCGGTTCGGAAATTGATCCTGTTGTGGAAAGGACAAAGAAGGTGAAAGGACAAAATTCTCCGACTTTTTATTTGAGTCTTTCAACAGATTGTCTATTTCGCTTTCCTGGTTCAGTTTCTTGTATTTCATCTTATATTTATCACTTCTTGTATATTATCTTCTATATTTATCTCCTTTCATTTTTATAATAAAAATTCATTTTCATTTCAAGTAAAGACAATTCTATCCTGGAAAGTTCTTGCTACGAAGTAATTTTGTTTGTTTAAGCATCAGCCTTTCAAGTGGAACAGCACAATCAACCTTAGAATGTTCTCAACCTTGACTGTTCTTCTCAAACTAAAATCTCAACAAAGTGCTTCCGTAATTAACACCCAAAGCATTATTGTTTTTTGTTATAGCCAAAATGACTCATCAATTAATACAATATGGAATTATTTTGGGTGGTACACCAGTCAACCTTGACTTAACTGTTTTGTTAATAAATGCGTGTATTATTATTACACTCTCTGTTTATGATATAGTCATTAATTTTTTCAAAGTATTAAAATGCCTACAACAACGAATATAATGGGGGAAACCTTTCGACGGAAAGCCGGAAAAGAACACGAAGAGCTGAAAAAGACAAATTGTTTTTGCTCAATCTCTTGTATAAGGATCATTTTGAAACGTTTCAATCAGTATGACACAGCAAACATGTTGTATAATGTTTATTTTACAAGTGCATCAGCATTAAAATTAATTGTAAACACAAGTTAATATTAGAATGAGTCGACATATGAATCTAATGTCAGATTTTCTTTGAAGATTCAAAATGCAACTCTTCATTTCTGTCAGGGAAAGGCATAGAAATAACATTTTCCAAATTAAAGTTGTTTCTTATCTTCTTCCTAACAGCTACTTCCTCCTTCTTGTCTTGAAAACCAGCTGATTTATTTCTGCGTGTACACTAATATCATTATAGCTGACCCATTTTTAAAACTTAGAAATCGATCACGAAAGCCATTAGTGCAGCTGGGTTGGAAAAAGGTCACTCTAATTACGTTAAATCGAGGCAAAAGTAAACGAAATTAGGTAAGTTGACACGCAAAGATTGCGCTGATGAATGAAATGAAACATTTTATATGATACAAAAGGCTTTCATCAAATTGGAACAGTGAGGGGCACGGCTGCCAGACACATTTTGTATTCACAAAAGGTTTAAATGACAATGTCTGAAATCAATGCGTTTCCCTTCTGCTATTAAAGGGCGCACCCTATTTGAATCATTCAATGTATTTTGTTTTAGCCAAGCCACATAGTCTTTTCATATCGAACTAACAAAGTTAAAATTTCTGTTAGACATTAAATGATACAGACTCTGTCATCGTGCTTTCCAGATTTCAGGCCCTTCAAAAAGCTTTTTCCCCTCTCTCGCACTTTATTGGATTTGGAGTGTATTAAACTGGATAGTAAACAACTTGTCAGACCTGTCAGGAACAGTCTTGAGTAGTTTTTCTATATTTGTATCAAAAGTGTCGCTTTTACCTAAAGCTTAGGTGCCGAGGTGATGAAAATAAAGTTTAGATAATTAAAATTTCTGGCAAAATGCCTATATGGAGATTTGAATCTAAGACATATGGATTTTGTACATAAAGTATAAAAGAAAAATATCTTATTAACCTAAATTGAAAATTTATACTTCTTGTACACCATATATATTCCTAGAGTAATTCAAGCAGATTACATTCACCAATATTGCTGTAATATTAATACTTATATCGATTTCAGTTTTAGTTCCCACAATACCTGGCAATTAATAAAAATTAATAGAAACTGCTTATTGGTTTCTAATCTATAAGCTCATCAGAAAATCTAAAGTATTGGTACCGTTGTATCCACAAATAAAAGTCTTTTAGTAGAGGCGATCAATCTCAGTCGGTTATCAAAATGGTATTACTCCCATTCACCACAACTAGTACCTAAAAATACGGTTTTGAATTGCAACAATGAAACAATGCATGTGCTACGTTCCAAGTATTGTATTGTTGCAGATTACAATAATGTAAATGTTATTTGCAGTTATATGGGTGTTTTCCAGCAATTAAATTAGATCGAGAAATATTTGTAGCAAAATTTATTCTGTGATTTGTAAGGAGAAATGTTTATAGAATCAGAAATCGATAATCAAAATCAGGCGCTTATACACTACTGGGATTTGAAGGGTACTCGAAGGGCTCGAAATACTTGAAATTTATATCAGGAATAATTTAATGAGATTTTAATAACTCACTTTAAGTGAATTTCGATATTTCCCAGTTATTGATTCCTGATAATGTCAGATGAGCGGTATCCTGCCTGGCATCAATGATACTGTTTTCTGAACCTTATCTATAACATTATTTATGGATTCTTTCAAAGGAACTTGAATATTTTCCAATTCTGTAATTTTCTCTAGACTTCTTTGTCTACCTACGTTACTTCAGCTTCTTCAATTAGGATAGCTTTGATGAGTTCCAGAGCTATACTCTAAGGTTGTTGAGGCTCCATACTTTCCAATACAAAATACATAGAAATATTTATGATTTCCACAGTTAAAGGTTGTATAACCGCAACTTCCTGTAAAGCAATCCAAATAATTTCAACTAATTCTTCTGCTTTGACATTTTCAATATTCCGATAATATTTAGCTCATCTATGATAGCTTCTTTTTTAGCAACTGAAGTTGTAGCTTCAACTGAAGTAACGGTACTTTGTAAATCGTCAATACTTTCAGTTGCATACGCTTTCTCATTGAGTATCTCCTAAAGTCGTTATGGCTCTTTGAACAGGTACTACAAGTGGAGCTAAAACTCTAGAGCTATTATCAAGGGTTTCTTGAAGAATTTCAGCTATTCGAATTAAAGACTGACGAAAAGGTATAAAAGCTTCACGTCTCAGTTCGTCATCTTATTGGATTTATCTATAGTGAGTGTGTAGTTGAGCTATATCTCCTATGGTTATCATTAGTTTATCATGTCTCTCGGATAATGGGGATTGTTTGAGGTGCTCAACACATTGAGTCACTTCTGAGGCCACCTGAAATAATTCTGGAGGTAACTACTTGGTTCTTATCTTGCGACATGGCAGTCTCATATAAAGCATGCCCAAACTCTTTTCCAAATGAGCTATGTTTTCGATTAAAATCTTCCCAGTTTCAGAACTTTGAAGAAACTCTTCTTCGGTTATCACAGATAAATTTTGGATTGATTCAAATTATCCAGGCAACTATCTGAGGAATCGCCTCTGTGTGGATTTCATCAATGACTTTGTTATATTGGAGATGTTTCAGAAGTGTTCTGAGTTCTGATCGTTGTGGTATTGCAGGAGTTAGCATGACGAGATCTAGAGCTTCGATTATTCTGTCTTCAATAATCTCAAGAAGCGATTAAAAAATAAATATATTACCTACAATGTATTCAATTCGATAGATAATTCCTACCACACAATGCTGTAGACGTGCTCTATATTCTTCAGAAAGCTCTTCTTTATTCTTCTTCAATAACTCCTCATGCTATCGCATGCGGTAACAAAGGATCTAATACAATCCTGGTTCTAGGGTTAGAAGATATTCTTTGTAAATCAGTCAAAGTCTTTTTGGTGTTGCTTCAGAAACCACTGTTTCAGAAGACTCTTCCAAAATCACAACAGATGTGGTTGCAACTTCTTGAAGTTGCTCTTGTAATTCCAGGATGTTGCTTCGCACCGAATTTACTCTGTTTTTTAGGCTGCTAAATATTTCCTCCAGTTCCAATAGAACTTTGTCATTTACAATTCCTTTTTCTAGGATGTTTAAAACAACTCCACATTCTCTAAGTGTTGACACGTCACTGTATGGAGTTAGATCCGTAATGAAGTTATTAAGCAGGTTGATGTATTGACTGTGGCTGCGTTTGTATGTTCTCCAATCTAGAAATTCATGAATGTATTCCAAGATTTATTAGGTTTACTAGTACTTAGTTTTGTAAAAGTTGCCAATTGCCTCAAACTTTCCAAAATCGTAGCATTAATAATATTCCTTTCAGCTGTTTCTATATTCAACGACAAGTCTCCGACTGCCTGTGACGTATCAGTAAGCACAATCCGGCTAACCCCGCTCAAAAATGTCTTTGAAAATCTCCTCTTTCGGCTCTCATGACGTAATGCTAGGTTCTGGAGAGCCAACGTTTGCCTATATTTTAATCAGGGCACTTAAGATGATCTGATTCTTTGACAGCTTCCAGAATTTTTCTTTCGGCACCAGCTTCCTTGACTTCTTCAAATATTTGATCTGTTTCGTTTTTAATTTGCTCTTCAGACACTTTGGTATCTTCATCCATTGGTTATGTAAGTAATTGTGCAGATCCTCCGGTAGTACAGCGGATTAGCTAACCTATTGTGCACTTTTTGATAAAGGCATCAAATTTGGCACAAAGGTAGACCGATGTAATATGAACAACTTTGGATGTGGAGCCATCGGCCAACTGCTCCCAGGCGACCGTGGCGGCGATTTTCTAAAATGGCCGCCAGTGGACACCCCGAAAGACAACGAAAGTTAAAAAAAGCTGCTGAAGGTTTTAGTGGATGATTATTGATTGTTTTCAATGAAAACATGCCAGATATTTTCTAAGTGAT